CACACACACACACACACACACACACACACACACACACACACACACACACACACACACACACACACACAGACACACACACACATGTACACACGTGTGTGAGAAAGATGGGGTGTTTGTGTGTGCCAGTGCATGTGCCTGTATGTGTGTGTCTGTGAGTATGTGCATGTGTGGATGTTAAGTGTGGGTGTGATAGATTGTGAATACTGTGCCACTCGTGATTCAATGTCACGTTCCCAAACTTTGAGCGTTGCCATGATTGCAAGGAGACAGGCAAAAGGACTATCGGGGTGAAGTTGGGCCGGTATCAGCCTCAAGAAAATTTGTAGTAGTCTTCTAGATTTTTCATTAATTTGCAAACACAAAGAGGGCTGCTACCTAGACCCAGGGAAAAACTAATCAGAATAATGTGAGTTCCAACTTCCAAGCACCCTGAGAGCTGTGAAAAGGCATAACAGACTTACCCTAACAGCCCAGTGACACATCCACATTCTAGGCACTTATACTGCCCATCAAGCGGCATCCTCACGCCATCCTCCAGATCCACCATTACGACACCTGCCATGTTCCGACTCAGAGCACACTCAATGTGGCAATATGCTTTGCACCTCGATCCGTTCGCACTGATTCCTGTACACTGCACCCATAACCCAGGCTCTTCTTTCTCACCCTCAAACCTATGGCAGAGAACACAGGAGCACCATCGACAGTAGGTGTCTCCCTTCCCCAAAACCTCACCACAAACAACATTCCTACACACACATAAGCCTCCCCTACCTAGCTCCCCTCCTCGTCCTCTTAGACCTTGCGAACCACGCACACCTGCTGCAGGAATCCTGGCACTACTCTTTCGTGCAGTCTTCTGGGCACCAAATGCACTCTCTACCATTGTTGCAGCACCTCGTAATTCAGGACCCTCCCCTACTTTGAAGTCCCCTATAGAGTGGCTGCCTCGCAGTCCATCACCATTTCCTATACCTCTTCCCTTGGATCGCTGTGGCTTCCCCATGCCACCATTTGTCTCCCCATTTACAGAAGCAGACAATGGTTGTCCACCCAAGAAGTCCAGCTTGGATGATCCACTGCCCCCACTACTCGTTGCTGGTTCTACACCCAAGCCACTCCCGCCTCCCTCTGCCTCCTCTTCATCGTCCTCCTCACCCTCCTCTCCACCTCCATCTACAATGCCCAGACCCTTCTTCCGGGCCTTCTTTAACCTCTTGCACGCAATGACCTTAAACAATCGTGTCATCAAGTGCAATTTGCTGAGCTTATGACGAATGTAGTCGATTCCCGTCTCCTTCCGGAGCATTTCGCAGATATCGAAATTGGTCATAGATTGCAAAATCTGCAGGCTCTTGCTGTCACCGCCAGCTGCCTCTATAACGAGATGTCTCTGTGGGTAATACGGCTCAGCTACACCAGCTGTTCGTGGATACTTCCGCTTCCCCCGCCCACCTCCACTATTTGTTGCACCGGATGCAACCGTTGAAGCCTCCTCCGTTCCGCCTCTTTCCTCGTCATAGCATAACCTCTCCACATCATACTCATCACTGCTGCTATTGCCATTCCCATCTCCATCACGACACCGCTCATCCACCCTGCCACTTTCATCCTGGTCCCCTATTCCATCCATCAGCATATTCTTCCCATTTTGTACACTACGATGCTTCCCATCATCTGTACGATTCCGATGGTATTCCACAATGTTACCTCCAGTGCATTCACCAGCATCATCTGCCATGGAAGAGCCTTGAGCTGTTGATAAGGATGCCCGTAGTCGTGCCATCAGAACCCCATCTTGCGTATTGTTTTTCCTTCTTTTCTGACTCCTCAGTCTACCTTGTTTCACTGCACCTTGACTCTGTGCCCCTCGCGAATTCCATTTTCGTGCCGCTGTTTGACCCCTTTTCTTTTCATGGCTCGCATTCTCAATTCCCAAATCAAGATGTGCAGCTTCTGTGCGTTTCGTTGCTGCTGACTGCCTTGCCCGCCCTTTCCTCTCCCTACCTCTCCCTCCTCCCTCTTTGCCATTTCCTGGCAACGCAAGGCAGATCCGTTTTACTGGACGCCGAAGCTCCACCTCTTCCCCAACACCCATATCTGAGCTTGGGGTAGTTAATTGGCTGTCCCTCAACTGATGAGGGCCACTTTCACACTCTCCACTGTAGCTCTGTCTCCCGCTGGCCAAAATGTTGTTGCTGACCTGGTCCCCTGCAAGTGTCACAATAGATGAATGATCACCGAGAGGGAATAAAAAGATCAGACAACCCTTCAGAATACAATAGTCAAGTTACTTCCACTCAGTCTGGCTGACCCGGGGCTGTGCAAATTCAGCGAATGGAGAAGGGGGGGCAACAACCCTAGAGGTCATCGAGTTGGTGCCTAATTGAACGGAGGAAGGCCAGGCAGCAGGAGCAGAAGGTGAGAGGAGAGATTGGGAGCAGTCAGTAAAGGAGGAGGGCCAGGGAGAAAGAGGGAAGCAGATGAGGAAGGAAGGTATCTCGTTTCCTTTCATTCGTGAGAAAATTGATGGCCCCTCGGCAGAGGCATAACATATCGGTTTGCATCTCTGAACTACGGACCCCCACTGGCTAAATTTGCATGAAAGTGCACTTTCCCCTTGCTATTTGATAGTGTAATGACCTGCAAAATCACAGACTGAGAACTGTGCTGATTTCTGACTTTTGCCATTGGAATGTATGCCTTGCTGAGATTACCTCGTTCTGCTGAGATTTCTAAGTCTGTGTCTGAGCCCAGTAGCGATACGCCTAGGTCTAGGGGGATACCAGTCCAAGTAGCCTGAGTCTAGGGCCTGTGTGGACGATATCAGAGCCTGCACTCATGTTTCCCTCCGAAAAGGAGGAGGTACCGGCTGCTTGGAGGCGGCGCGGCCTGGAAGTCACCAGCCGTGAGCCTGGTTGGCTGCTGTATCTCCTGGAGGAGCGAGTAGCTCCTCATTTGCAGTATGCAAGCTTGGGCATCATGCTGCTTGAGCGAGCGCTAGTTCTCAGAGTGCTGCGGGGGAGGAAGGAGGAGAGCTGGGCGCTCTGTCTGGCTAATAGCGAGAAGCCTAGCTTGAGGAGGAGGAAGAAGGGGGCGAAGGAGGAGAGTGGCGGGGTACTTACCTGGCTATGGTGGACGCCAGCTTCATCACCTTGTTAGGCGCTGCATCTGGAAGGCCCAGCATCTGGAAGGCCCCAGCTGGGGTAGCAGTGCACCAAGAACGCTTCAAGGCAGAGTCTGGCATGGCGGCCTGAGAAAGCAGCGACCATAGCTGCTTCGCGTTGTATTTTGCACGTCAGGCAAGGCCCTTAGTAGTCTGCCATAGCCTAGGCCTCTGCAAAGTAGAAGAAGAGGGAGGCCATGGCTATGGCGGACCTCTTGTTGTGCTGGCAGTTAGAGGGAACTTCGGATATTGGTTCTGGCTCAACCATTCATTGCTATAATGCTATTATAGAATAAGATTGGTGGAGATAAGGAGGAGGAGCAGGAGAGTGAAGAGAGAAGGGGGGGATTTGTCATTGGTCTTGCTGGTGTACATCGTCTTCTTCTTCTTTCTTCTTCTTTGGCCTCTATTTCTTTGCAATTGGGTGGCACTTTGCACTTCAGAGTTCACCAGGATAGTAACCATGGCTACCATGCAGACATCCGGACGGGCATCCAGACGGTCTGGTGTCCGGTGTCTGAATCTGATTGGATTCCCTCGTCTATTCCGAACCTCCCTCCCCCTTTGTTCGAAATCTCCCTCCCCCTTCATTTGAAACCTCCCACCACCTTCGTTGGAAACCTCCCTCCCCCATTTTTTGAGATGGTTGCTCGTTTTGAATCTTTATGAGTGGTTCTTTTTATTCGTTCACGAACTTGTCATTCTATGAGCAGAGAATCGTGGTTCTTCCTATTCGTTCACAAACTTATCATTCGTTGGTTCTCTGAACTTCCTTTTATTCGTTCACAAACTATTCAGAATCGTGGTTCTTTCTCATGGCTACGCCGGACCCGGACCCAGACATTTCCGGACATGGAACCGGACCCGTGCCCGGTAGTTTCCGGACGTCCGGAATTCCGGACATTTCCGGACCTCTGGACATGGGGGGATCCGGACGGTCCGGATGTCTGGACAGGTCCGGAAAATGTCCGGACCATTTTTAAAATAAAAAAAAAAATCTGAAAAAAAAGTATGTTATGCAGAATAACAATGCAAACCACTTTTGCCTCAGAGTCATGTCAGAACTCCTAACCAAACTTGAGTTAAAATTAAAAAACTATAAAAAGCTTAAAAAAAGACTTAAAAAAGTTAAAAAAACTAATGAAAGGTAATGAATTATTCATAATAAAAAACTTGGGGTTGTCTAATAAATTATTATAGAGAGAGATCATGTCCGGACCCCCCAAAAAAGCATAAACGGGCCTGAAAAACCCTCAAAACAATTTTGGGGGCTTGGCTCCTCAATGGGGAAGGGTCCTGGACCGTTTTTTTTTTTTTTTCCCCCTCGAAATTTGGCAGATCCGGACCGTCTGGACCGGATGTCCGGATTCCGGACCAAATCCGGACCGTCTGGACGGCGGTCCGGACGTCCGGATCATAGCCATGTTCTTTCTATTCTTTTTATTTGTTCACAAACTTATCAAGATTCTATGAGCAGAGAATCGTGGTTCTTCCTATTCGTTCTTTAACTTTTCATTCAGAACTTGGGATTCTTCGGTGGTTCTTCAGATACTTTTATTCATTTGCAAAGTTTTCGTTCGCTTTCAAAGTTCACATTCGTTTTCAAACATTCGCAAACTTTTCTTTCGCTTTCAAGGTTCGGAAGCAGGTTCGGAAGCAGGTTCGGAAGGAGGGGAAGGAAGGTTTGGAAGAAGGGGGAGGGAGGTTCGGATGAAGGGGGAGGCAGGTTCGGAAGAAGGGAGGGGGAAGACATTCGAAAGAGTGGGAAGGGAGCTTCGAAACATGGGGAGGGGGGTTCGGTATGACAGGGAGGGTGGGTCGGAAGAAGTGGGAGGTAGGCTTGGAACAACGGGGAGGGAATAAGTTTGCAGTGACTGTGCCAGCACAGTCATAGTTGAATGTCAATGAATGATCATTTATGTTTGCTACACATGCCACCAGGTATGTCTTCGTAGGTCTTCCCTCCCAAATCAGACGATGAAAATGCATCGAACATGGATGATACCTGCTGGAGTTTTTTTTTGTTTTTTTTTTTCCAACCCGGACCAATCTGGACATGATGATCCGGACCATCCAGACGAATCCGGAAATGCTCTGGATGGTCCGAATTGGTCCGGTGATCCGGACGTCCGGATCGCGACCGGACCAACCGGTGGTCCGGGTCCGGATTGGTCCGGCGTCCGGGTCCGCGGTAGCCATGATAGTAACATTTGTCTTTTTTATTATTATTATTATTATTTTTGGCAATTAGTTAGTGTGGTCTCCACTTTATGAATTGGTGGCAAGTGTGGTTAAATTGACCCTTGGGTTTCGTTATACATGGCATGACAAACTGTCTGAAAATTTAGGCGTCCGTTAAACTGCTCTCATTCACTTGTGTGTAAGATTCAACAAACAACAAGCCGTGAGACAATGGCTCTTTTATGTTATAGTTCACCAACTTCACCTCCATTCTTTCCAAAGAAGCACCTCCATGGGATGAGCCAAAACATACATCCGAACATCAATGTCTTGACGCCCTGCATGGCTTATACGTAGTGCGCCATAGCAGTATAAATATGACAACAGATTCTCAGAAATAAAAGAAAGGACAAACAGCTAGCAGGAAGCAGCATTGTCTGGAGCGTTGGAATTTGTCATTGTTGCTGGCTATCCCATACCCTTAGCAGCTGTTGTCCGCGTCTTCCGCCCGCGTATGCCCATCTTTTCCTCGATGCCCTTCAATTTTCTTCACGCTTCACCCTTCAGCCTTCGGCCTTCACCAACAGTCGGATTCTTCAGCCAATGTATCAAAACAGTACCTTCCCCAATTGTGGAGACAAACCTAGCGATTGCGAAACAGATTGCCAAAGAGAGCACAAAAAGAGACCAGATAAGAACAAAATCAGATAAACGTTAACACACCTGGTCAATAGGTGGTGTCATTTTCGCCGAATTTTTCACTGAAACTGCCATATAGCCTTGTTTTTTTTGCTTTTTTTCTTGATTTCTTTTTTTGTGCGATATGTATGCGCTTTAGGGTTATATCATGTATTCAGCTTGTGGCGATGCGCAGAAAAAACACCGAATTTTCGGCCTTCCATTAACCATCCCTCAACGCTAATAAAAGAAAGGCCACATGCAACCCAGCCCATGTGGCTGAATGGTACACACTACTACACACATGTAGCTGTTAATCATGGCCTCAAATGCTGATGGAGTCAGAGAGATACATTAAGGTTAGGGGTGAAGCCCTTCCAAAAAGCAAAACAGAAGGATATTTTCAACAGCGAGATGACAATTCCAGATCACACCATCACATTAAAAGCCAGATAGTCACACTGTGTCCAGAGAGCAGCAATGCACCAATAATACACCAATGGAGGTTCGTAGTACTGAAGACCAATGTCATGGAAAGCTTTCTCTCTCCTTCAACAACACAAGAGTCCAGTCCCTTCACACTCCTACTTGGCGCTCAGCGCCCAGCCTACTCCTACACAGCTACGATCAGCCTAATAATAGACAATGCAACTGTTGACATCAGCGGCAACCCGAAGTACTTGAAGATGTCGCCCATATGCAGACCATCGCCAATACAAGGTAAGTGCCCTCACATCATCATCATCATCATCCTTCGCCCTTCCCTGACTTACTCCCACGCCTGTCCTCTCTTACACCCGAAGACCACCCCTGCGCTTCACTGTGCATCCAAGCCCAGCCCGCTATGGAGGCTGGCTATGGTGCTGCCCTCAGCAGCGTCCTGCTCCCACACACGACCGCACGTGCGCAGGCTCTTGCTCCAATGCCGGCAGCCAGCCCGCGAGCAATTGTGGGCAGACCATCGCCAATACAAGGTAAGTGCCCTCACATCATCATCATCATCATCATCATCCTTCGCCCTTCCCTGACTTACTCCCACGCCTGTCCTCTCTTACACCCGAAGACCACCCCTGCGCTTCACTGTGCATCCAAGCCCAGCCCGCTATGGAGGCTGGCTATGGCGCTGCCCTCAGCAGCGTCCTGCTCCCACACACGACCGCACGTGCGCAGCCTCTTGCTCCAATGCCGGCAGCCAGCCCGCGAGCAATTGCTCCAGCAGCGCTGCCGCCAGCCAGCAAGTGACCGAATGCCCTCACAAGAGGAGAGCTCTTCCCTATATGGAAACAGCCGGCCTGCTCGTGCAGCCTGGCTGGACTGGCCTGGGCCCGGAAGCTTCCGGAAGGCCCCAGGAGGCTGCCTGTGTACAGCAGCTACTGGGCTGCTGGGCCTCATTCGGTTGGGCGCCCAACTGTCTCTGTATGAGGCTGCGAATCACGCCCAGGGCCTGCATTCTTTGGCAAAGCCCAGAGAGCGGAAATGTCTTTGTTGCCCGGCCTGAGTTTCTTTCAACCAACTGGCGCGTCGCAACTGCCTGGACCCCAAATATGAAATTGACAGTCGAGGGCCTCTTCCGATATGTTAGGCCTGCCTTCACTTAGGGCGGGCACCTCCGCGTTCACTTAGGGCGGTCAATGCTGCAAACAGGGCTCCTTAGGCCTACCGAGGACCCTGATCCTCGCACTATCGCATCACAGCGACTTTGATCGAAATATGCATTTCGTTTGGCGCAAATATTATTTCATGGGCCAAACCATTTTTGTTTTATCTTCTACAATTATTTGCCCTGATGCGGAGGAAACCGACCAACATCCTTGATTATTTCCGCATTTTTTTGCTGCCGGAAAGTTGAGTCAAGAATCGCCAAGGTTCAGGTACTCCAAGTTTTACATACCCCCTTCAGATCTGGTAGGCCGGTCCTTTGATTTTGCTCCGTGTATACCAACCGGTGAGTATATCTGAATAGCAAGGGCTTGCACGACTCCGCCCGCCACGGGCCCAGGCAGCCTTCCAGGCCGGTGTAGGTCCCTGAGCATCGGGAATAACAGTCCAGGAATCCACAACTCTTGGTTGTGCGTCAACTGTAAAGTCAAATTCGAGGGAAACATACACAGACCTCCAGAGTCCAAACATACACAACTTTCGGTTCTGGCATACCTCTTGCTCCCAAACCCAGACAGATTGGTCTGCCCAGAGACCACCTCCAGACCTAGCCACTAATCCAGTCAGGCCCAGTGTTCAGGTCTTCCTTTAAAAAGAAAAAAAAAACAATAAAAAAAACAGGTCATTATGGCAGTGTTCAGGTCTTCCTATTCCGGAAAAAAAACAGAAAAAAATTCAAAAACTCCAAAAACGTGCGTGTGTCTGTGCAGAGCGGAGCAGAGGGAGGGGAGCAAAAAACAAAGCATTTTTTTCTTCTTAAGAAGATCAGAAAGAAAAACTGCAACAAGGCCACATCATAAAATGTGAAAAAAGAGTGTGTTCAGAAGCACCCTGCCATTTCTGAAAGTAGTCCAGCATACCCCAAAACATCTCATCCTTTGAATTCCCAAAAGGACGTCAAAGCAAAAGCCAACAGACCCACAAAACCTCCAAACAGTGACAAAACAGCCAGATGCTCCTCTACTCTATAAAATACCCAGAATGAGCCAAACGTCGGTACAGGTTTAGATCGAATAGACCCTGCAGGTTTCTAAAATACCGGGAAGGAACCACCAGTACCATTTCCTTTTGCGAGTCCCCGGAAGGACCATCACATTCAAAAATACACAAAAGGAGCCGTGATCCGAGAATACACAGTACCAATGGGCTCAGCTCAGCAGGTACACCCATGAAGTTGGCATGAACTGTTGAAATACCAACCCTAGTTCGAATCCAGCTGCAGTCAAACGAACAGAATAAAATAACTATCAATTACCCGCGGGCCTTCAATACTATGATAACCTCTCAAGGCTGTCATACTTTAAAACATTAACTCTCTCAAACACACACACACACACTCCTACATTTGAATAGTTAAGTTACCAGTACCAATTTGGGTTCTTTAAGACCTTTACACAACCAAAGAATATATATACATATATTTACATATGTATAAATAGAATATATGGATATGAATTTAGGTAAAGATCTGTAGGGAACGATGGCCCACACCTTTAAGTGATCTATGATCCTCAGGGCCCTTTCCCTGTCGAAACAAAAAAAAAAATTCCGACGCTACTCACAAACATACGAGACCATCCCCGGTTGGCCCTTCTGGTACCAATTTCCCCGCAGTCCCATCCACCATTAAAAAAAAAAATATCCCCCCCCTTTTTTTTCTCAATTGGAACTCCTTCGGCTGCGGAGAGTAGTATTTAAACAACCACCCAGTCTATTCATACCTCCTCGTAGTTTCTTCGTGGGACTCGTACGCTAGCAGCATGACTGAATTGACGCGTCGCCTCAGCCTCTCGCTACTTTCGCACGGCCCACTCGACTTTCATCGGGTTCAAAGTTGAGATACTACGGATCTTCTTCGTGGGATTCTTGCGCTAGCGGCAAGACTGGTCTGACGCATCGTGTCTGCTTCGCTACTTTCGCTTGGCCCACTCTGCTTTCGTCGGATTCGGTGCTGGGATACTGCGATACCTCGTGGAGTTTACTTCCTTGATTACTGTGTGCGCAACACAGTATCCCCAGTTGTTCTTCTCTCCATCACTGCTGAAACCACCATGTCGGCCTCCTCTTCTGCCAATACCACAGTGGTAATGGATCATATCTCCCTTCATCCCTCCACCCTCCCCCCCCCCCTTCTCTCTCTCCCCCCCTGCGTCCCATTTCCACGTCTCTTTTCTCTGTTCTCCTATTATCTGAATGATCCCCACTTACCCCACCCCTCCTACTTCTCCTCGTAATGGTGAACATCTTCTCTCTCCCATTTTGGAACGATAACCAAGGGGCATCTACCCGCTGATGAGCCAGCCTTGCAGGAGCTGGCAAAAAAGCTTTTGGGAATTTCTTTCTGCTACCCCCTCATACAGGTTTCGTCGACACGTCGGGGTCGCTTGGCCAATCTGGGAGTTCCCTTCTTCTTCTTCTCTCTTACCCATCTACCGTCTAGTTCTTCTCTTCCCCCTCCCTTTCAACTTCCTCCATGCATGAACGATATCTAACGAATGACAATGCATTCTGTTCGTACTGTATTTGTGTGTGTGGCTGACGTAGGAAATACTTATCGAGTTGCGCCTTCAATAGTCAAAGCTGTCGTTAGGAGCACTCTCCATGGATTTTGCAGCCTTCTACTTGGGTGTTTTCACGATCTTCAGTCTGTTGTTGGCCACTTTCCTCTTCTTCGAGTTCCTCAATAGCCTTGATCAACGTAGATCGCTTTTTTGCTCCCCCTGCGTCAGAAACTCCTCCATTCGTTTGTACAAATGTCCTGTCGAAAAGTTTACTGCGTGATCTCTTTCCGCCGCTTTCCTACTACCTTGCTTGCTGCTGTTATGGCTATGCTTATTCTCTCGTACATGGTCGTTTTTCTCCTTGCTGTTCGAGACATTGCCAAGCCAATCTCCACTGCTCCTCCCCACTGCTCCATTCTCGACTCTCCAACTCTTGCGGCTCCCAGTTATTCTCCCTCTCTACGCTGCTTGCGATTATGGCAATTACGATCATGTTTGGCATCTTCACCTTTGTAATGGTTATGATTAGTAGGTGGGTAACGGATCGGGCCTTGCTGTTTTTTTATGATCCTCCCTGACATGTGAGCAGTGGATCACCAGTTAATCTTTTGGATGCAGTTTCAGAACCTTCGGGAATCTTTCGCTTTTAGCATTGAACCTTGTTCTTCTCTGTGATCGCTAAGCTTTTACGGGAGTTTGATGATGCCGCGGATATTCTGTCTTCAACTAAGGCAGGACTCTTTCTTAACAGAGTGTTTTTTACGATCACAATCTCTGCAGGTTTACACGGAGCCTATGCTACTCT